TGTAAAAAAACGAAATTCTGTCATTGTGTTCTCAAGAGAAAGAAAACTCTCAGCTTTTATTATACTTAAATAGTGACTTTGGTCTTAACAGTACCCGATATGAGACTTTAAAACGTGTTCAACGATCCGCGGTTCGGAGTTGTCGGAGGATTTCGTGTACGTTGAGAGCGAAGAAAATGTTTTTTGGGGATAAAGTTCGACGAGACACCCTGTATATACGCGATTCTGTCACTGGTATTGGTGGCCTAGATATTCTATTCAGTCAATCGGTTCCAAATCTGCACGCGAGCTAGACGATCATCGCAAGATTCGATTTCCTGGCGGCTTTGATCGTGGACGAGTGAAATTGGATTTAAGGACTACTTATCCCTCTTCCTGCTACGAAGACGCGGTACAGAGGATAAGACGGAAGACGATTCTTATGGAAGTATTATTCTCTGGATGGAGTCGGAGAAACCGTGGAACGTGTTCACGACGACGGCCCACCGAGGATATTCACAATAAATACAATAATTTCTTTATCGTCTCGGTGCATTGTTACGCGATATCAATACTGATGGGCATGCACCGCGGTGTTTCTCTATTTCTTCCGTAATTATCGCGCGTAATTACTGTAAAATGCTACAAACGGTTAGACAGCAACGACAGAGCTTTCAGGAACAGTATTTATAAATTGTAATTTGTACAAATTACAATAGCAAGTTGTCGATACTGCCTTATCTACATTTGAGACAACTCTAACTGTAATTCGGGAACTTTTGTTCTAACTATATTTCAAATTTAAGACGTGATTTAATCTCAAATAATTTAAGTAGTATTTAATTTTAAAAATTAAATTAAAAAATTTCAAATCGTTCTAAAAAAAATATTGTCGACTGCGGGGGTCACTTACAGTCATTTTTGGTGAATAGACATACCCTCGAAATCCTAACCATTTTCGAGAAAAAAATTCATTACCGAAAATATACTGTGAGGCTAGAAATGTCACTCCGAAATTTCATGTCAATCTTTAAAACATCATAATTCCTGAACGGATTGGACGATTTTAATGTTTAAAAAAGCAAACTACGCGTATTTTAGTGGAGAATATGTACAAATCGTGAAAATATTCGAAAAGTTGTTTCTTAACTCCGTAAAGTGAGAAAACCCCCATAAAAGTGATCCAATCTTTAAACAACCATAACTCCTAAAATAGTAAATATATTTCAATGAAATTTTGGGGGGAAGTAGAGCTCATGGATACCTATAAAAAAGTACTAAACAAAATTTCCGTAGGATGTCAAACAAATCTACTAAAAATCGAAAACGAATTTCTAAGAAAAATCGACAGGTGTAAAAGGTGCCTAAATTTTCCGGCGAAAAAAAAAATTTCAAATCGATTTGGAAAAATTATTTTCCGTTGAGGGGGTTAATTACAACCATTTTTTGTGAATAGACATACCCTCGAAATCCTACCCATTTTCGAGAAAAAAATTCAGTAGATATTGAAATTTTTCAACGAAAAAAAAAATTTCAAATCATTCTGGAAAAATTATTTTCGGTTGAGGGGGTTAATTACAACCATTTTTGGTGAATAGACACACCCCCGAAATCCTACGTATTTCCGAGAAAAAAATTCAAATAGATGGACAAAGTCAACAAAATTAAAAATTTTCAAATCGTTTTAAAAAATTATTTTCTGTTGAGGGGGTCAATTACAATCATTTTTGGTGAATAGACACACCCCCGAAATCCTACGTACTTTCGAGAAAATAGCTTCTTTCGTGGCTGAATACCCTATACAAGACTTGAAGATGTAGACTTGATTCTAGTCGTTGGATATTGCGTTAAAAATTTCTGTTGATCTATTTTTTACCCCTTCGTGACTTAAAAATCTTCTACCGACCAAATAGTGACGCAAAGATCGAAACAGTGAATAATCAAAAGGATCTATATTTGGCAAGTACTACAGATGTACCAGAGTTCCATAACCCCGAGTTCTTTGATCTTTTCTCGGGTGATTTTAGCGCAATTTAGATGTCCCATTGTCACGCCGCGATATGGCGACCCTATTACAGGATGTCTTTAGGTAATTATCTAGAAAAAGTTCCATAATCGTAGAGGGAACCTTGCTCCCACGAATGACATTTTAATTGTTCTAAGAAATGTGTTTTGGAAACTGTGATGTGACCTAAGAATGATTGTTCTGCTTCTTGCTACAGAATTGTAGTATTTTAAAGATCGACAACGCTTTGACCAAGTGTCCCAATACTTTTAACAGTGCTAACATTTAGTTTTTTTATTCCCGAGAAGCGTGGCAGACGTCAAGCACCTAGGCACCTGTGCTCGCGAGCACAGGGACCTAGAGAAGGAGAGTAGACGACCCCTTTCTGGTTTCCTTGAACCCAGGTATATCAGTCACATCGCTAATTGGAAATCGCTCGTGCGATCTACGGTGTCTCGAGGCGCACTGGCAATTAGGTGTGCGCTTACGGACCTGTCAGCCGCGCACCGAGCCACTATGCATTCGAGATCACCCTTTTTTATCCCCCGGACCAACACGATATCTCACGTTTCTGACTGTCTCCATTTTCACTGATTCTCCCCCCCGGCTCGAGCGGTTTAGTTTTCCATTTCACGGATACTTAAATCCGCGCGCCAGGCAAAACAGAGTAGCTTAACAGTTTCGATGCTCCCTACACTCTCAAACAATACAGTTTTATCTTTGTAACAAACGATACGATACAATGGCGATCGATGAAAAATCCATATTCTTATTGGAAAATCTTCTATTTACATATCGCCATCTTATCCTACTTGCGCCCTACGCTTCATCTTTTCACAGCCGCTCGATGTCGTTCTTTCTATATCATCGCACGTGGTTACCTTTTCCATTACCGCTGACCGCCATCGCATTCCTGTTAAGCATTTTAGTTGGTCGTCGAGGGACGTAAGAGTCTCTCCTCTCTTCCTCTTCCCTTTTCCCTTTGTTCCTCTGTCTCGCTGCGTATAGTATGATCCCCCATTTTGTTCAGATTTCGACCCCACAGACCACGAGTTATCCACGCCATTTCTTATAACTGCTCGTCTCGAGTGAGCCTCCAGGGCAGTTTAGAATTTCTCGCCTCATGAGGAGCCGAGGACAAATCGAATCGCGTATCCTGCCCTCCCATTTTGTCCACGCCTGGCCCCAACCAGTGGACAAAGTGAGGGGTAGTATAGTATTTCGTCTACTCCCATTCCCCCTGCCTTTTCTATCACCTTGTCCCATTTTTCCTGTGCTCGTCGAGTCAACCATGGGGTCAGGAAAGGAATCATTAACACCGAAATAGTAGCAGTGTTCCTCTTTTTCGCTGATTTCTACGCTATTTCTGCTGTCATAATCGGTTCTTATGCATCCTACTGCACCGACCTGCAATGCTTCCCACTGTGTCTGACAGATGACTCCACTGCTCATATTTTCCCGCGCTTGCTCACTTTGTTTTACCTAACCTCATTTTTTTCCACTAAACACACCCTATTTATTCCTCGTTTTTGACTAAACATTGAACCACAACCTTACTTCGTTCCTCTTCACGCTAAGTACAAATGTTTTTTCTCCAATGCTCAACTGTTCTAGCTTATCTGTTGTTGAAATATGTTGCAGTCCATATGGTAATAGAGAAGGGGGCCATTTTGTTATTTTCTTAGCATGGATACAAAGGCTTCTCTGCATTATATTATACAGGGTGTTGCAAAACTGATAGAGGGTGATTCTAAACGCAAAACTAAGTAGGAAATAAAGACCAAAGAAAATGGATTTTAAAAATTCATTATCTATGAATGCAATTATCGCGAAGATGAAGCTTCGAATAACAAAATTTCATCTTCCATTCTCAGTTTGTTTCTTCGAATAAGATCATCCCCTTCTCGATTGTACCATCTGTACTGGGACGTCCTGTACAAGTATCTTCGGGAAAAATTCTATGAAATCTGTTTTAGTAGAGATTAATTACGCCGTACAAACTCGAAAGACACGCGAGATCGAGTACGTATGTTGCGTATGAATATAGAAGCGCCGGCAGATATCGACTGGCCGAGATAATGAGGAAGTTTAGACGCCAGAAGTCCTTCGTAATTGCGCGAAAGTGTTTTTCCTTTTCCTCGCGGTGAATCGGCGAAGTTAATTCCTCGTTATTTCGCTACCTCTGGCGACGATTAACGAGGGCGTGCAACTATCCCTTCGCGCGAAAATCGCCCGCAGGCCGACGATTATTCAGATCTGAGACATTCTTGGGGTGGTACCGATAGATTAATTTCGAAATATTCTAAGTCCTCCAAAAAAATGTTTTTCTCCCTATCGACGAATATTCTTATAATTGTGACCGATTGGTGGTTAATTATGAAACTGATAGGGAGGTATAATGATGTAAAAAGTGTGCAATACTGTTAATAATAGAGGAATTAACAATACTGGTCAAGACCAGCGCCACTCAACTTCGGTGATCTGACGGGAACCGGTGTTTTCAACGTGGCACTATCGTTGTGACAAGTTCTGTTTTTAATTTATACCAGTTTCAAAAACGATGGCTCAATTCATAAGAAACAAACTGTTTTTCATTTATAGTGAATCACAATTATAATGTAGGAATACAAGTGGGAGTAACTGATACATACTAAGTAAACTTTGAAATGATACTAATAATAACTTGTCTATTTTAGAGTATGTCCAGTTAGGTCTGGGTTAGGTCTGGGTTAGGTCTGGGTTAGGTCTGGATTAGATCTGGACTAGATCTGGATTAGATCTGGGTTAGGTCTGGGTTAGGTCTGGGTTAGGTCTGGGTTAGGTCTGGGTTAGGTACTCTAGACACATTTAAAATTCGATCTTTTTTAAATTACTTGAACAAAAATAATAGCAATGCATGTATTCCTTAAGCTTCAAAAATATTCAAGAGTTCCAAGAGTTAGGGCATCGAATCGATTACGTAATGAGATAATGCAAGGACGTAGAAATCCAATTAAGGTTGTCCTTTTGATTGCAGGATGGTCCGCATGATCGGCGACGAATTCCTTACGGAGGAAAGGGACCGGAAGTACTACGCCGACCATTACACGTGCTGCCCGCCGCCTCTCTTCATCATCCTCATCACCCTTGTGGAGGTCAGTAGGAACAGTTATGCTTCGTAATAATAATAATCCGGCTACCTTTGATCCCAGCCGCGTAACTTCGAAGCCGATAAATTTTTAATAAAATCACACGGTCGCGGAATCGGGAGAGAATGAGAGCACAGAGGTGGTAGGGGGGGATTCTGATATTTATTAAAAATGCCTTTGACGCGCGTATCTCTATTCCTCCCACGCTACTTTGAATACCGTGACATTACCTTTGCGTCGTGTTCCGATTAATATCGCGACAACGACGATAGCCAGGAATTCCCGGGGCTGAAAGGATCGCGCCGTTTTGTTTTCCTCGTTGTCGCGTAACCGTGTTATTAAATTCGCCGGTGCGAATTTGTTTTCGCTCCGCGGGAAGAATCCGTTGCGCTAAAGTGCGGCCGTTAATTTTCATTCGCATTGTGCGGCCAACTGCGGTGGGGGAGGAACTTTACGGGGGGGGGGAAAAGTGTAAAATGCCGCGAAAGTTCGCGGCGAAATTGGAGCCGCGTGCATTATGGTGAGGCATGGTGTCCGACTTCATCTTGAATTATTTCGCGGGTACATTTAGCCGAGGGAATCGTTACTTTCGCGAAATGCGACGCACCGGTGTAATTATATCGTTGACGCAACATTCAATTACCCTGCACGCGATACCAACTTCTTTGTTTTAGTAAAATATAGACTACCATACGTGGGAGTTCCTGCTGTTATTAGTTACAGAATATTTTATGCGGTTATTCGAATACTCGAAAATATTGGGTGGTTTGTTTACACATTATGGTGTAAAAACATTATTCATAATTATTCAATTTTTACTCTAAATACCGAGGTGCAACTTGGCACAAATTAAGTCTCTTTTTGTAAGCTATTGAAAGACTAAATGTACTTTTGAAATGTTAAATCTCTCCCAAGAATATACAAAATTAATTGGATATAAATGGTTGCAAAGGGATTATTTCATTCCCTTGTAGAAAGAATTACTTTTTAAGCGAACGTTAGAATAAGGGATGAAATAAACCGAGAAAAATTATGCTCTGTTAATTCGCATTACCTTTTTGACTTAATACAAAATTGCATCGCCGTGGGGTTAGATTAATGATGTCCGGAAGGGACGCGATGGCCGCAATATAAAGCTTGTCAACCAGTTTTTCCTCATTATTTTTCTTACTTCCATGAAAGCTGCCAGTCAATGTAATTATCTTTTGCAACAAGAGTAGCCTGTTCGTGACATAATGTAGATACGCGTGCAACCGTTTCTCTTTGATGTCGGCCACGTGGACGGGGAGGTACAATTAATCAATTTTTAATGAGTCTAATTCGCGTATGAAAAATTTCCGTCGCCGTGCCAACATTCGTGAAAATAAACAACGAATTTTGTCGTCGATAAATACGAATTTTCCGATGAATTTTCGAACAAAATGACGTGTATTTGTGTTCCCAATTTGCAAGCAATAATTTTGTTATAAATATCCTTACGATCCTGAATGCTGTTCATTGTTGTTTCTCTGACGTTTCTGTTTCTACAATCGATTTTCCCGATTTTTCTTCTTGCATATTTATCGTGAAATTGTGTATAGAAATTAATATATTTATTTTTGTTCACACAATGGAAATAATAGCGATTGTTGGTTATTGCGAAAATGTGTTGCACCTTTTAGAAAATTAATCCACGAACTAAGAACCTTGTATTTCTGCTCGATAATAATTCAGCATTCCTGAAACGTTTCGCCGATTAACTTGAAATCGAATTTCACCGGGAAGAGCTTCCGGCGAAGCATTTCTAAAAGCTTCTATAAGCTTTAGAATTTCTTAGGCACGCGACGAAATTCTACCAACTACGAAGGAAGGAGGCGGAGCCCAGGTATGTACCGTGTATAGGTAAAGCTTTCTGATCGAAGCAGCTTGTTAATTAAATCCCCAGGTACATCCCGCGGCGTAAACTGCAATCCCGGAAGCGGCAAGTGTAGCTACCGATCCAGACTATCGTAATACGATGTAATTGAAATATCATGAATAACTTTCAACGGTAGATCCGGAATTTCGAAGCTCAAACGGAGCTACGATCTTTTAAAAAATTTTTTCTATCGCATTTTCGCTCGAAAACGACTGAATTATTTGCGACACTCGCGTTAGACAACATGGGAAAATATAATTGCATCGAGTTAAATATTTGTTTTATGATACGATACGATCCGGTGTCGAAACGTAGCTTCAAATTGCTTCGTTTCGATATTTAATTTTCATTTAACAGGTTGATCGTTTCAATCGAGCCAATCGAGTGTGTTAACAATTTTATTAAACAGAATATATTTAACAACGGTGTTATATCGCCTTTTTATCTTTATTATTATTCAATTAAACCTCGAAAAATAGTACTCCGTGACAAAGTTGAACATTTCTTTTTAAAAAACGAGTATCGATCGAAAATCTATTCTGACATAGTCTTATCTTCGTTCTCTGTACACAGTGGCGGCAATTCACGAGCGTTATCATTTTTCGATAGCTAAACAAAACTCGATATCGAGATGTTCGCCAGGCTCGCCGTTGTTACGGCATTTTTCTAAAAATATTCGATTCCCGGGGAAAACGGATGCGCGGCGTATATCAACGTCTCGCAAGGTCTTATACATAGAGGACCTTTCAAAATTCAATTCCGCGACTTCGGTTGCTCTGCGTGGCTCCGAGATACCGGGGCTGCCTTCGGGAATTAAATTTCCATCTGCCTCGATCGGCCGGGGGACGTACAGTGGGGTATTTGCCTCGACAAGAAGGCCAAAAGTCGATCTTAAAAATTTCGCGTAAACCGTACAATTTGTACCAATTAATGTAAACACCCAAATAACAATGTTCTGATATTTCTTTTTCCATTTGTTCGTTCAGTGTACTTCGTATAAAATTAAGTGATCTTATTGTGCGTGTTTCTTTTTTGACTCCTTGTAATTTATTACTGCACGCAGAATTATTATGAATATAATTAACTAGTTCAATTTTTATCAAAGTTTCCAAGCTTCGTTTTATTTGGGTCAGAAAAGAACCGCCAACGATTCTTGGCAACTAATTGAAATCTTACAAACACATGGTTATTTAACAAGGATTTTGTCTTACAATTTTGACGTAAATTTAAAGAATTTAAAGAATTTTTTTCTCGAGGTATTATGAATTTTTAAGGATGCAGGAAGTGGAGAATAGCGGAATATCGTATGATCTGACCGCAACTGTGCTAATGTTCAGCGAAACGTGTGTCATCAGTTTCCCTTTAGTAATGCACGTGTTCGAAGGAATAGCGAACGCGTAGTGACAGGAAAGAGAAGCGAATTTCTGACCGATAGGCGTTGCACTCGTCGAGGCACCGAAACGTCCAACATATGGCGAGAAGACACGCTGCATAAAGAGCAGAGAATCCGAACACGCAGCCCCGCACGCTGACCCTACGCGTATGTCACAGCCACTTGAATAAACATCAATTTTATATCGCTCCTATATTGTTTCACCCGTGCATTCGACTCTGCTCTGGCGTCATAACGAACATAAACGTCTAGCCGCGCGGGCTTTTACACCTGTACGCTCCTCTTTACTCCTTTCTTCGCTTTGCGCCACCCCACTTTGCCACGGACGGAATAACGGTACAAGCTCTGAGCCACTCCGGGAACCACAGGCGCCTCGCAAGAACGCAGACTGTAAAGAAATTCCTTCGTTTCATATTATATTTTACTCGATCGCAGTTTCCCACGAATAACAGAATCTTTAAAGAGCGCGTTCGATCCCGTCGAGAACGTAAATTGTAAGATTATTCGAGCGTCCCGACGTTTTCGCCGGGCAAATATTTGTCGGTGGCAAAGTGAACTATAATGGTTTGCACGGGATTCGATATATCGTATTCAAATCTGTTTATGAATGGGAGGTCTGTCGGTTTGATGTACACTGGAGGACGAGCACGTGCACGCACCTGCGTAATTTGTGTTCAACATCTTGGGACTGTGTACTCTAAACAGAGGCGTTGCGTAAACAGATTTCGGCGAATCGTCGTCGGAATTGGTTAACGGTATTACGTTCAATGAGCTTTGTTGATATACTGTTTTGCATGGCTTGAGCAAACTGATCAATCGACTGTAGTTTGAACTTTAATTCTGGGTTAAAAATTAACTACTCGAACGATCATTGAAATAGCGTCGAAAACGAATTTAAGAATTAAAGTACACGTTGACCTCAATTAAATAAAAACTATAAAATACCTATTGAGGAAATTAGTTTGATTTTTGAAGGTGTTTTGTCTGACACCGTTTGTAAAGGGTTGAACATTATTCGAACGCAAATAAATTGTCGGGGATGCATTACAGAGGCTGAACTACAAATTGGAAAAAGAACAAAGGGCATATGGATCAAAAACACAATATGATGGTCGTATCTCTTCAGCAAATATCACGCGTACGCGAATAGGGGGCGGATGGCGCGTAAAAAAGCGCACGGGGAAGCGAGACGTAAACATCGCGAGCCTTTTGGCGTCTTTCCAATTCCGATAATCTCATCCGTGCTATCATTATTATGCCCATTATTGGCCTCGTTATTTAGTAGCCGGTAAATCCCCGAGAACCGCATCCATTGGACCATTCGTGGATATCGAATAGAAGGGGTGAAGCCGGTTTATTGTTCTAGAGTGTAGTAATATATTTTCCAAGCGAGAAGCACGGCAAAAGTATCCTTTGAGCCTTTCGTTCAATTCTTTTTTTTCACGCCAACGAATTTCATAACCTCCAGATATGCTTTTGTTTTCCGTGTCGCTTTATCCTCGATAGAATCGAGGGTGCTGACTCTTCTCTTGTAATGCACGGTTGAATTTCATCAAATTCGAGATCTGGTTGTGAAATTCTGCAACGTACTGCGGTATAAAAAATGCTAATTTCCGTAGTTTTCGTAGTGTCTTTCGAAAAATGGTACTGGATGGGATTCAGGCGATTAAAATGAGCTCAAACACGATGTAAATCAAACTACTTTTAATTGGATTA